GGGGAATTCTGGGAGTTGAAGTCCCACACCTCTTCAAGATGCCAGGGTTGAGAAACACGGCTCTAAATCTTGCAGTTTTTGAGGAGAAAATTATAGCTTGAGGACTAGTTATCGTATTTAAGCGTGTCGAATTTGAACTGGGCAGAGCCAGGACAAGCACAAACCCTGGAACTAAAATAGGCTTCTCTAGGGGGGGGGGAACCGTTCCAGAATGAGGGCATCACCGCTGAGAAGACCCATGATAGGATTTCAGACAGGGCGTTGTGTGTGAATGGAGAGCAACTTTGCTTCACACGTTGTCCTGTTTTTTCCCCCATGCTGTTCCAAAGCTGATGTGTGAGCTGGGCAATGCGACCATGAATCAGATCTACGAGGCTCAGTGTGAGGAGATGGGGCTGAAAAAGCCAACACCTGGCAGCTCAAGGTAAACCTTTTTCAGTGTCTCTTTGCCTCTGGTATTTTACTTCCTCCATGTCTGCTTCCCCATGAGTTAGCAGGGGACGCCCTGTGCTGTTGCTGTGTTCAGACAACACACATAAGCTGGTTAACGGAGCCACTGTTCTCCTGGGTGTATCGAATCATAAACCACTCTGCCCAGGGAGAAATGAAAAAAAGAAATGAAAAACCCTAACTGTGGTCATTCTTAAATAAGTTAGGCACATGGGTGTGCAAACTCAGCATGAGAAATGGTTTCCTATCAGGCAGGACAAAGAAGCCTGGATCAAAGTCAAATATGTGGAGAAGAAGTTTCTGAAGAAGCTACCTTCGGGAGAACCCCTGGCCGACCACGAGCAGAAGCCCCGCCGCTGGAGCGTGAAAAAGTGCCAGAGGTGCAACAGCACCACCAAAGCGCCCACTACTCGCAGGAAGTATCGGCACGAGGCGGGAAATGCGTCTCCGGCTGCCCACTCTTCAGGTAGGCGATGCGCGTGAGGAGGCCCAAACCGGCCGCCATTTTGTGTGTTGGAAAGCTGGAGGGTTCGGTCGAGACGGTTGGCTTGCTTTCCCGATATCCCTAGAGAGGGTGGAAAAAAAATGTGAATTAAAAACATTCATTTCATCCTGAAATATGTGGAGCTCAAAATGCAGGCAGCCGTTGTAAGTGGGAAAACAGGTTATAAGTCTCTTTTTTTTCCACTGCCGTTGTAACTTTGAACAGTGGCTAAACGCATTTGTCTGTTTCTAAATACTGTAGCTTGTTCGTCCCCCGTTTCAGGATTTGCCTTCAGCTCTTTCAAACATATTGTTACACAGTGAAAATTGGAAATTTGTCCTTACATTGTATTGGCAAGTAATGATCCTTTGAGAACTCTGGGTGGCTATATATGAACACAATTACGCAGTGTTCTTGGCAATGGTATGGAAACAGAAGCAGGTTGCTTTTGTTTTCTTGAACAGGGTTATTTTTAAAAAAATTCCTAGTCTCGCCTCCAGCCTTGTGATTGCCTA